CTTGACCTCACTTGCTCACTTATTGACCTTGCTTGTACTGTGATCTTACTATACCTGCACTTGCTTGTTTACCATTATATATGATCTTGCATGTGAACTGGCCTTGTGGCCTTGAGCTTGTGCTCGGACTGTGTGGTGACGTTGTGATCCACCCAGAGCTTGCTTTGCTTTGCTTGACTGGTCTTGTGACCTCTTGTTCTCCCCCACTTTGCCTATGGGGGTGTGTCAAACTCTTATGATATAGTCTAGGTTGATAATATGGGGTACAACACTTCTAGGTTTTCCTACTTGTACCCACCTGCTTGCTAGTTCATTCATTCCTCGTTCTTTCACATCGTTCTTTCACACACAAGACCAGTCAAGCGAAGCACAGCAAGCTCAGGGTGGATCACAACGTCACCACACATTCCGAGCACAAGTTCAAGGCCACAAGGCCAGTTCACATGCAAGATTATATATAAAGGTAAACAAGCAAGTGCAGGTATAGATAGGTCACAGTACAAGCAAGGTCAAAAAGTGAGCAAGTGTGGCAAAGTAGGCACAAGACCTAGCATCGTACAAAAGCGCTGACGATCACAAGGCGCAAGTGCCTTGGTAAAGATATCAGCAGTGTTGGCCTGAGAGGCCACGTAAGCATGGCGCAGCTGACCACGCTGCTGCAGCTCACGAGCAAGGAAGTAGCGAAGAGCAATGTGCTTTGTTCTGTCTTCCAGTCTGTGCTCCCGACACAAGGCCAGCATGGCCTTGTTGTCTACGTACAGAACTGTAGGAGAACAAGGCGGCTCTCCTAGGTCGGTCAGCAAGTAGGTGAGCCACCGTAGCTCCTGTGCAGCCATGGCCCCTGCGTAGATCTCAGCCTCACAGCTGGAGCCGAGAACAGAGGACGAGCGGGTAGACCGCCATGAAACAGAGCAGGAACCAAGGCGAAAGGTGTAACCCTGTGACGACTGCTGCGTAGCCTGGTCGTCCGCCCAAGAAGCGTGTGCGTGACAAGTGAGGACCACTGGACTCCGCCCTCCAAGCACAAGCCCCACGCCCGACGTACTGCACAAGTAGCGCAATACCCTCTTCGCTGCAGCCATGTGCTCTGGTCTGTGTCTCCCAGGAGCAACATAGTGTGCCAAGATGCTAAGAGGGTATGCAAGGTCAGGTCGTGTGCAGGTCATCAAGTACATGAGGCAGCCAACAAGCTCTGGGTACGGGCCACTCGGCTCTACGGACTCATCCAAAGGCAGAGCTGAGAGCGAGTGGAGAATAGACAGAGGAGTGGCCTGAGGCGAGGAGTACGTGAAGTCGAAGCGCAGAAGGACCTGCTGCACCATGTGTGACTGAGTCAGGGTAATGGTGCGCTGTGCTCTGTCCCGGGTGATCTGGAAGCCAAGGTAGCTGCGCAGTTCACCCAGGTCTGTGCACGTGTGTCTCTTCTGCAGCCCGTACTTCACGTGGGCGGGTCCAGCAGTATCAGCAGTAGCAAAGACCGAGTTGTCCACGTACACGAGGATGTAGAACGGCGGCAAAGAGGTGTCGGTGCGTAGAAACAGCGACGGGTCGGCTGTAGAAGGAGCAAACCCAAGAGCCGCAAGTGTATTCCTCAGTGTGTCGTGCCACTCACGGGGCGCCGGAGGCTCCACTGGATACCAGGAGGAAACGACCCAGTGAAGCCAGGTGGGCGGCGCAGCCAGATCTCCTCGTGAGGCTGCCCTGTAGGAAAGCAGTGCTGAAGTCAAGAGAGTGAAGCTCGTAGTCGCGCTGAGCAGCTATGTGCAGCAGCACCCGAAGAGTGGTCATCTTCGGGGTGGGAGAGAAGGTCTTAAAGTAGTCAACTCCCTACCGCTGACTGAAGCTTCGAGCCACGTAACGCGCCTTGAAGACAGGTGGAGAACTCGGCGGCCGCTTCACCGTGAAAATCCACATGCCACTGAAAGGAAGATCAGCTACTAGGGTAGACGCAGCAGTGGACTCAAAGGAAGGGTCAGTGACAACAGTAGCTAAAAGACGCGTGACAGTAGGACTGGAAGCACGAAGAGAGTCAAACTCCGGGTCAGCAAGAGCAGGAAGAGAGGACTCTGGAGGAGACGGCAAAGGGACACGCAGCGGAGCAGTGGAAGGACACAGTGCCATCTGGTGCGTGCCTGGGACCGTAGGAGGACGCTGACGTGGAACACGACGACTAGTACGAGCAGCACGAACAGGCGACGCAGGGCGAGACGCAGGCTCACGACGCTCAGCAAGACCTCCAGTAGGACCAGTGTAGGGAGAAGGAGCAGGCCGTGGGGAGGCGGGCTGTAACAGTGACTCAGACTAGACAGAAGGTGGACACTCTAAGAAAGGAGCAGGACCAGTAGAAGGCGGGAGACCAAGAACCTGCTCGTGGAGCGAAACGAAGTACGGCCGCGACTGTGCAGCGCCTCCAGAACTAGTAGGAACAGCACCAGCACCCCCAGCAGAAGCACCAGCGCCAGTAGCACCCCTAGCTACAGCAGCGCCAACTCTAGCACCCTCAGAAGCACCAGCGCCGGCAGCACCTCCAGCGCCAACACCCCCAGCCGCTCCAGCGCCAGCTGAACCACCGGAAGACTCAACAGCTCCAGCTCCAGCAGCCCCAGCAGCAACTACCCCAGCAGCACCGCCAGCTCCAGCACAAGGAGCACCCCCTGGCCCAGCAGCTCCAGTACCTCCAGTACGAGCACCTCCGGGACCCTTAGCAGCAGTACCCTCAGCAGTAGTAGAACCTCCAGCTCCAGCAGCACCTCCAGCTCCAGCAGTATGGCTCATGCGCCAAGCAAACCACTTGTGCAGCTCTTGTGGAGAGGGTAGCTCCCGCCGGGACGAAGCACCCGAAGGACCTCCGGACCCTGGACCGCCAGACTCCACACGAGCAGGCCGAGCACCCTCAGGCTCCACACCCCCAGTTGCAACACCCCGTGGCTCAGCACCCCCTGACGCAGCACCCCCAGGCTCAGCACCCCCAGGCTCCGCACGCTCAGGCTCAGCACCCCCAGGCTCAGCACCCCCAGACCCCGCACCCGCAGGCTTAGTACCCCTAGCAGCACCAGAGTCAACAGCTACCTCGACAGGCTCGACTGCGTCTACCTGAGACACACCTGAGGGGGCAGGACCCTGAAGGGAAAGGGGGTCTACCGGAGGGGGGACCTGGAGCGAGGAAGAGCGGCGGCGGGGGAAGGGGTGCAGTGCGGTAGGGGTAGAGACGGTAGTAAGGAACCGACTCGTCAAAGGTAACGTAGAACAGGAAAGTCCGAGCCGAAACTCTCTCTGAGCTGGAGACGAGCTGCGCGGATCCAGTCGATCAACACCTCAGTGACCTCACCCTTGCTGGGCAAAGGGAAGACTGTGGTGTAACGCGAGTAGTCGTCAACTATTAGCAGGAAGTAACGCTCGTGACCCTGTCCACGGACGCGGGCTGGGCCCCACACGTCCAGGTGAAGTGTATGCAGCGGAGCCTCTGTCGGAGGAAACTCGGAGGAGTGAGGAGCGGCGCGTTGCCGCCCCTCGACGCAGGTAACGCAGGTAGGGGCAGGCCCCGGAGGAAGAGGAGGGAGGGACAGAGGGAGACTAGAGACAAGGACACGGGAGGCCATGCCTCGGAGACGAGGCAGGGAGGGGTGACCAAGGTGGTGGTGCCAGAGGAGAGTCTGGTGAGACAAGAGATAACACGAGTAGGGGGCAGACTCAAGACCAGACCTGGACGCTGCAGCAAACACCTGACCCGATGTAGCTACCTACCCAGACGCAGCAATCGGAGGAGACTCAGTAGTCAGTATGTAAAGGCTCGACCCCGGCTCACGAGTAAACGTGGCCAAGTGTCGGCCTGTGAGGATCTAGGATCGAGCTCAGAAAAGAAATTGTAATTGAATGAATCACCTGGGTACAACACGAGGCTATATATAGGCTCGACACAAGGCCCAGTAACCAGGTGTTACGCGAAGGTTCCGCGGGTCGCGAAGCGTCCCGAACAGGTCCTTACCGAATTCGGTAGAAGGCAATTCGGTGGCAACCGAAAAGCCAAAATTCGGTGCACGCAACCTAGCTCCGTGCTATAACTATAATAAAATATAGGAAAGCACCTAGCCTAGGAAATCAAGCAATTCATGCATGCATATAATTATCCTATGCTAGAAATAGCATAATGAAGTAAAGGCAAGTAAGCATAGCTGGCATAAGCCGTCGTACTCTCATACGGCCTGTCCGAGCACACGTGCAGTGGGTCACTCGCTGACTCGCAGGAGTGAACTGGTCAACCCCCCCATCCTGTAGATCAGCACCACTCGCCAAGTTCGTAGAGAACGAGCAGAGGTAAAGACCTGACAGGGTGCCAGAAGGGGCCGCCGGACGCGGTAAGACAGACGAGAAGTGGGCAAGGACAGGACCCCCAGAGGGGTCTCCCAAGGAGACTACAACCGGCCAACTGAGCGGCGTGAGTGTGGTGCAGTCTCGAAAGAAGGAGTGGGAAGCATCCGAGTCAAGGGTGAAGGTGTGCAAAGCCTGAGCCGACGTGGTACCTGAGAGAGCAGACTCACCAGCACCTGGGGCAGCAGACTCACCAGCACCAGGAGCAGCAGACGCACTAGAAGCTAGCGCAGCAGCCTCACCAGCACCTAGAGCAGCAGCCTCAATACCCGAGTCAGGCGGAACACACAAGTAACAGTCACCCTCATCACTAGTAGACACAACATACATGGCAGCAAGAACAACATCATAATCAAGATCAAAGATAGCAACCCCCGACCAAAGCAGCTCGCCCCAGCAATGGATCTCAGTGGCGTCAGGGAACTGGAGACGCCAGGCGTCCGTCAGGCGGCCGAAGCAGCGCTAGTTGGTGTGCGGGCCACCGCACGGCTCACTAGTGCGGTCGCCGGTACGCAGGACGTAGGCACAGGGACCAGCACCCCCACCCCGCTGACGCGCAGCGTACCACTCACGAAGCTGCTTTGGGGGCGGGGCCTCACGAGTGCGCATCTGGTGCTGGCGCTGACCACCACCTAAGCCGCCCCGCTGCACAAACCACCCTGACCAGCTCCACCGCCGCCACCGCCGCTCCCACCGCCACCGCCGCCGCCGCCTCCGCCTCCACCGCCGCCACCGAAGCCCCCACCCCCGCCACCACTCCCACCGCCACCCCCACCCCCTCCGCCGCCTCCACCGCCACCTCCACCGCCCCCGCCAGCTCCTCCAGCGCCCTTGCCCTCCTTGCCCTTGCCGTTGCGGCGTCTCCCGCTAGGGGCAGACGCAGCGCCGACCGACTCGGTGCCAACGAGGTCGACGGCAGCAGCAGAGGCAACAGAGGGCAAAAGGGGGGAGGGGGAGCACCCCTCAAAGAAGGGGGCACGAGGGTCACCACATGAGGCTTCTACAGCAACTATACTCTTCTCAGCTGCCATGTTGCGCTCCTCGAGGAGGTCAACAGTAAGTGTGGTGGGGCAAACAGAGAGGAAGTGGTCCCTGACCAAGCGAAGGGAGTCAGGGAGCCGGGTGACTAGGTACTAGAGGGTGATGTACATGGGAGGGGGGTTCTTGACGCAGAACTCAGCAGGAAGCGTAGCGCGGTAGCGGGTGTCACTAGTGCGAAGGTGCGTAATGAGGTCAGCGACTGTGGGGAAGACGGCGAGGTCAGGGAACAGGTACGGCAGCATGAGGCGACTAAGGGCAGCAGTGGCAGGGGAAGAGTAACGTGCAAGTACAGTGTCGTACAAGGTCTTAGCACTCTTGTACTGACTAAAGTGTGCGCGCTCAGTGGACGGCAAGTGACTACGCACAGCAAGACGGGCAGCAGCATCGCGTGTGGCTCACTGTGAGCGAACAGTACTGTCAGCATCGGCAGCAGGGGCAGCAGAGGAGCAAGACGTGAGATCGAACAGTGAGAGACCATCTTTTCTATCGCACAGCAGGAAAAGCTGCAGATCATCGACCGAGAACTCAAAGGCGACAGCCCGAGCCTCAGCATCAAAGTTGAGAACACTAGGGGTGGCCATGATAGCAGCAGCAGGCTAGCAGCAGCAGCAGCAAGCTAGCAGTGGCAGCAGCAGGCTAGTAGCAGCTTAGCAGGAGAGGCGCGGCTCGGCGGTGCTCTTACCAGGGCCGGGTGGGTAGAGGGCCGCAAGCGGTGGGGCAGGGCCGAGGCTGTGAGAATAAGCGAACAGGAATGGATCAACTAGAAGTGAAAAGAGTACAAGTAGTAAACCCTAGAATTGTGTACCCCCTATGGGCTAACCCACTGTAGCCTACACAAGTATAACATATATAATGTTTGACACACCCCCATAGGCAAAGTGGGGGAGAACAAGGGGTCACAAGACCAGTCAAGCAAAGCAAAGCAAGCTCAGGGTGGATCACAAAGTCACCACACAGTCCGAGCACAAGAGCAGGGCCAGAGGCCAGTTCACATGCAGGAGTACAGACATATATATAAAACTAGACAAGCAAGAGCAGGTATATATATATGTCACAGTACAAGTAAAGTCAAGAGGAGAGCAAGTGAGGCAAGACAGACACAAGACCCAGCTGGGTGCAAAAGCGCTGATGATCACAAGGCGCGAGTGCCTTGGTGAACACATCAGCAGTGTTGGCCTCAGAGGCCATGTACGCAAGTCGCAACTGACCATGCTGCTGCAGCTCACGAGCAAGGAAGTAACGGAGAGCAATGTGCTTCGTTCTGTGCTCCAAACGCTGCTCTCGACACAAGGCCAGCATGGCCTTGTTGTCTACGTACAGCACTGGAGGAGAACGAGGCGGCTCTCCAAGGTCAGTCAGCAGGTAGGTGAGCCAGCGAAGCTCCTGTGCAGCCATGGCCCCGGCGTAGATCTCAGACTCACAACTGGAGCTGAGAACCGAAGACGAACGAGTAGACCGCCAAGAGACAGAGCCGGAACCAAGACTGAAGGAAGTCCGGGGGAGGGGGGAGGGAAGGAGTGCGGTAGGGGAAGAGACGGTAGAAAGGGACTGACTCGTCGAACGTGACGTCCTGGGAGGACAAAACACGACGAGAGGAGGGGTGGTAAAACTGCCACCCTGGGGCGTCAGTGGGGAAGCCAAGGAAGACACAGGGAGCAGCACGAGGGGACAGCTTGTCCGCAGACAAGTCGCGGACAAACGCCCGAGATCCCCAGACACGGAACACAGACGCATCGCCAACCTTCCCTGTCCACAGCAAGGCTGGGGACATCGCAGGCCGAGAGACCCGGGGGTGAAGGTTGAGCTGATGCGCCGCGTACCTCACCGCAAACGGCCACAGAAAATGGGGGGCAGCCGCATGCATCATGGACGTACGAGCGACATCCATGACCATGCCAATGCGGCGCTCAGCAATCCCATTTTGCTGTGGTGAGTCCGGAAGCGTGAAGGACTGGCGGATGCCTCGCGCACGACAGTAGGCACGCAGAAGGCCAGAGGAGAACTCTCCACCTCTGTCCGAGTGCAGACGCAGAACAGGAAAGTCCGAGCCGAAGCTCTGCCTGAGCTGGAGACGAGCCTCGCGGATCCAGGCGATCAGCACCTCAGTGACCTCACCCTTGCTGCGCAAGGGGAGGACTGTGGTGTAACGCGAGTAGTCGTCAACCACCAACAGGAAGTAGCGCTCGTAACCCTGCCTACGGACGGGGGCTGGGCCCCACACATCCATGTGAAGCGTCTGCAGGGGAGCCTCTGTCGGGGGGAAGTGGGAGGAGTGAGGAGTAGCCCGAAGGCGACCCTCGACACAGGGGACACAGGAAGGTCCTGGCCCGGAGGGGAGAGGAGGGAGAGACTGGGGAAGACCAGAGACAAGGACACGGGAAGCCATGCTCCGAAGACGGGGCAAGGAGGGGTGGCCAAGACGGTGGTGCCACAGGAGAGTCTCGTGAGACAGGAGGCGACAAGTACAGGGGGCAGACTCAGGACCAGACCTGGACGCAGCAGCAAAGACCTGACCCGACGCTGCTACCTGACCGGACGCGGGGACAGGAGGAGACTCAGTGGTCAGGGTGTAGAGGCTCGACCCCGGCCGACGCGAGAACGTGGCCAGGTGCCGGCCTGTGCGTGCGTCCGTGCAGTGGGTCACCCGCTGACTCGCAGGAGTGAACTGGTGAACCCCCGCATCCTGTAGGTCTGCACCACTCACCAAGTTCGTCGAGAACGAGGGGAGGTACAGGCCAGACAGGGTGCCCGAGGGGGCAGCCGGACACGGGAGGACAGTGGAGAAGTGAGCGAGGACAGGACCCCCAGAGGGGTCAGCCAGGGAGACTGCAACCGGCCGACCAAGCGGCGTGAGTGTGGTGCGGTCCCGAAAGAAGGAGCGAGAAGCCCCAGAGTCAAGTGTAAAGGTGAGGGAGGCCGAAGCCAACGCGGTACCTGAGAGCGCAGCCTCACCCGCACCTGAGGAAGCAGACTCACTAGCACCTAGAGCAGCAGCCGCACCTGTACCTGGAGCAGGAGACTCACTAGCACCCAGAGCAGCAGCCTCACCAGTAGCTAGAGCAGCATGTCCTATACCTGGGTCAGGCGGGACGCACAGGTGACCGGCACGGTCAGCACTAGTAGGCAATGCATACATGGCAGTGAGAAGAGCATCATAGTCAAGAGCATATATATCTACCCTCTGCCTAAGCAACTCCACCCAGTCGGGAAGCTCAGCCTCGTCGCCAAACACGGTACGCCAGGCGTCGCTCAGACGGGCGAAGCAGCGGGACGGTGTATGACTACGTGTCCCACAAGGCTGACCAGTCCGAGTACCAGTGCGAATCACGTAAGAGCAGCGAACAGCACTGAGAGACCCTCCACTCTGAGCGTACCACTCACGAAGCTGGCGAGGCGTGAGAGACACGCGAGAGGGTCGCGGGAGCTGCATCTGGCCGCCACCACGAGTAGAAGCAGCAGGAGTGGTAGTAGGAGTAGCGTCGCCACCTCTACAGCCCCAACCAGCGTACCACTCACGCAGCTGCTGGGGCGTGAGGGACTCACGCCGGCGTCGCTGGGGCTGCATTTGGCTCCGCAAGTAGAAGCAGGAGCAGGACTAGCAGCAGGGAGGCAGGCAGCCAGGCAAGCCAAAAGGCAGGCAGGCAGGCAAGCAGGCGACGCGCAGCGTGCTAGCAGGGCAAGAGCTCACCAGTGGTGGGAAGAGTAGGCTCGGCGACTCAGCAGCTCGGCAGCTCGGCGGCTCGGCGGCTCGGGCGACTCGGGCGGCTCGGCGGCAAGGCGGCTCAGCAGCAACTGCAGCTCAGCAGCTCGGTGACTCGGCGGCTCGGCGGCAGGGCGGCTCGGCAGCAACTGCAGCTCAGCAGCTCAGCGACCCGGCGGCTCGGCGGCAGGGCGGCTCGGCTGTGGGGCGGCTCGGCTGCTGCAGGTGAGCGGCTCGGCTGCTGCAGTGGGAGAGGAAGGAGGAGGAGAAGCAGGGGAGGCCACACACCTGCCACCCCTCTGCTGGCCTCTCAGGTCGCCTCGACAGGCGACGGGAAAAGGGGGGGGTGGGTGGTGGGGGCCGGTAGGTGCAGCGGCGGGGCCAGCAGGTGCAGTTGCGGGGCCGGTAGAAGGGGACGGCAGGAGCCGTCAGGAGGGGACGGCGGGGCCGTCAGGAAGGGACGGCGGGGCCGTCACGAAGGGACGGCGGGGCCGTCAGGAGGTGACCGGGCCGCGACGGGGGCAGGCGGCGGGGCCGCGTAAGGGCCTGGGCGGGGCCGCGACAGAGCCGTCGGCGGGGCCGCGAAGAAGCCGGGGTGGGGCCGCGCGAGAGCAGGCGGCGGGGCCGCGAAGGAGCCGGGGCGGGGCCGCGTGAGAGCAGGCGGCGGAGCCGCGTAAGGGCCTGGGCGGGGCCGCGACAAAGCCGTCGGCGGGGCCGCGTGAAAGCCGGGGCGGGGCCGCGTAGAAGCCGGGGCGGGGCCGCGCGAGAGCAGGCGGCGGGGCCGCGAAGGAGCCGGGGCGGGGCCGCGTGAGAGCAGGCGGCGGGGCCGCGACAGAGAGGGCGGCGGGGCCGCGTCAGTGAAGGCGGCGGGGCCGCTGGGGAAATGGCGACCCGAGGGGTCGCTAATAAAAAAAGATCGCGCCTCGGGGGGCGCTTCGGTGGGCCCAAAAAAAAACGGTCCGTAGAAGGACCCGCTCTATACCAAGTGAGAATAAGCGAACAGGAATGGATCAACTAGAAGTGAAAAGAGTACAAGTAGTAAACCCTAGAATTGTGTACCCCCTATGGGCTAACCCACTGTAGCCTACACAAGTATAACATATATAATGTTTGACAGAGGCGCGCCGGCAGGGACAGGGCCGTGACAGGGCGGCAGAGGAGTGCCGCGCCTCGGCTGCAGGGCAGGGCCGGGACGGCACCGGCGTCTGTCACGGCAGCGGCAGCGGCGATTGTCCCAGCAGGAGCGGCGGCGGCTGTCACGGCAGCAGCGGCGACGGCAACTGGTCATAGAAGAAGCAGCAGCGGCAGCAGGCACGACGGCAGCTGCTGCTGGGGCGGCAACGATGGGGCGGCAGGGCCGTGAAGAGCCGCGAGGGGCCGCGAAGGGCTGCAGAGGGGCCGCGAAGGGGCCGCTAAGGGCGGCGAAGGGGCCGCGAGGGGCCGCGAGGGGCCGCGAGGGGCCGCGAAGGGGCCAAGAAGGGGCCACGAGGGGCCATGAAGGGGCCGCGAAGGGCGGCGACGGGGCCGAGAAGGGGCCGCGAGGGGCCGCGAAGGGGCCGCGAGGGGCCGCGAAGGGGCCGCGAGGGGCCGCGAAGAGCGGCAAAGGGGCCGCAAGGGGCCGTGAGGGGCCGCGAAGGGCTGTGAGAGGGGCCACGAAGGGCCGCAGAGGGGTCGCAAGGGAGCCGCGAAGGGGCCTTGAGATGGCGCGACGGGCCGCTAAGGGCAGGGGACGTGACGGGAGGGCAGGCGCACGGGACGCGACTAAGGCAGGCGCGAAGCGCGCTCCGGGCAGGGAAAAATAAAATTTCTGTTTTAGTGGTGGGCCCCAGGAAACGTTCCCACTAGGGAACACTTCCTTGGGCCCACCACTGAAATATTTTT